CCGAGGACGAAGATACCCCACCGCCGGAGGCCACCGCCGCCTCCCACGGATCCAGCACCGGAGAGGGAGAAGGACCAGATCCAGAGCCCTGCGGACCAGATCCAGTCACCCCATCCCTCTCCGAGCGCTGCACCCGCTCCGGACCCGAAGCCCAGGCGTCGCGGCCACGAGCCGCCTGCTCGCGCGCCGCCTGCTCCGACTCTAGCTTGGAGCGGAGCGAGGCCTCTAGCTCCAGATCCACCGCGGAGGCGAGGGAGTCCTCGCGGCGCCGCTTGCTACCAGAAAGCGCCTCGCAGGAAGAGCCCCTAGATTTGTCCATGGAGATCACCGCAGCAAAAGAAAGAAGGAGGGGTGGGGGTGGAGGGGATCTAAAGACGCGACGGATGGGAAGGCGATAGCGGCGCAAATCAGAGGCGGAAGCAGGAAACCCTAGCAGGGGGGACGCCGAACCGCGTGGGATCCATATATAGCCCGAGCGAGCCGTGCCCCCCTGGGCCCGACTCGCCAAATGGGCCGAAGGAGGATGGGGAGCCGGTAGCCGGGTGTTGGGCCCAACTGGGCCAAAAGAAACGAGCGGGGGAAAATCGACCACCGAAGAAAGGAGGGGGGAGGCCCACTAGCCAACACCGCCCCGATAGGCCCATCAGGCCCACACGGAGGGCAGGCCCGCAGGCCGGAGGCCACCGCACTGAGATCTGGATCTAGGGTACACGGGGCAACTACCGGCCCCGCCGACGCCGCCACCGGCGACGAAGCCACAGCAGCCAGAGACGGAGAAGGAGAGGGAGAGGGAGATGGAGATGGGGAGCCTCCAAGCTCCCCATCAGGAGCACAACCCAAGATACCAGGAGCAGGAGATGCGACCGCAAACTTATCAGATTTACGCCGACGCCGCGAGATCCGGATCCAGCCGTCGACCGACGGAGACACTACCACCGGCCGGCCTCGACCCCCGGGGGCGAACTTACGAAGGCGAGGGGCGGCGCAGGCCACCCCCACCCTCCCGAGCAGGTCACCGCCCCACCGGGGGAGGGGGAAGGAGACTGTGAATCCTCCACATCCGACCCCAGGGCCCAAAAACGAGAACCAAACACCGGCAGCGGAGAGGAGGGAGGGGAGAAACCCACTTGCGGAGAGCCAGGGGGGAGAGGGGAGAGCCGCTGCACACGGAGAGGATGGCGACCGGGCACCGGCCACCGGGGAAGAGCGGGGGGCAGACCTACCGAGGCAAGGAAGAGGGGAGGAAGGGAGGGAGAGAGGGAGGAGAGAGGAGCCATCCTTCGCAAGGGAAGCTGCGATGATGGCGCCTTATCTCCGGGAAACTGCTCAACTCCGACGGGGATTCTTAACCCCTCTCACTTGAAACTCCACACCCAAAGCCACGGGTGAGACTATAAACCAAAAACCAGTGTCCGGAAACCAGACACTCCTCTCTCTTCTCCACCTTGCTTTCGAAATTAAGTTGGTCATTCCTAATCATTCAAAAAGTTGTGAAAACCCCACTATAGTTTATGGATTTTCCAATAACTTAGGGGTATTTGACATCCAGAATTCATATTTACACCGTGTTTATTTTTATAACGACGTGTAGGAATTCGTACTATACATTCCATGATTATCAGTAGTTTATTGCTATTTTTTCTTTGTATTATTGTTTTCTTGCGCGCAAATCACTAAAATTTATGTATGCATGCATATAAAATTACTGAGATAATCTTGGGAAATTTTACATTGCTCTACACATATTGCCGGTAGTAAACTCATTGATATAGAAAATAGATGAATACATTAACTCGCAATGGTTGTAAGTATCGTGATCCTTGCTTCGACATGATAACTTTGCTAAGACTACATCAAAGTTGTAGGCTTGTGTGTTCACAATAAATGACCCGTAACAACTCTCTAGGAAAGACCTCATACTATTTGGATCATAAGATGTCACATGCCCGAATCACTCACGGAGAATTAATGGAGATGATGGTGCCAATAGGACTTTGTATTGCACTAAGGGACCCTTTTGATGCACCTCATGCCAGTCAGTCCTCTAAGCCACTAGCAAGCCGGCAAGATACCAACAAGAATCTCTCGGGCAATGCGATTAGACATTCTATTCATGAAAATAGAGGTAAAAGGAAAGCAACCTACACCAAGCATGACAAAATCTTGCATTGGTCTCAAGAATAGGAAAGCATGGCTTGATAAACCATATGGTGTATAATGTCTATCTTGCAATGAGTATGGCAATTGAGACATTGGTAAAACAAATAGATCATGAACTCGTAGAGCTAAGCAAAGTGCATAAACCACACATGGTCAGGAGTCCTCGGTGCACCAAAGAATATGTGGTCCCAATAACAGGAAATGAAACCACCATCCTGGATGTTGTTGTAGTAAAAAAAACTATTAAGGTTGTGTAAAAGCAACAATTACATATATGGTTGATCAAGAAAAAACAACCATGAAGGACTGACCTACACTCCATTAGAAGAGAAGATTGGAAAATTCACACTAGAACTAGAAGGTCTACTTATACTTGCTAATACAGATATTCATGGGGAAAATCTCTGATGAAATTGAAGAAAACGAATTTGAGTTATACAATGTAGCCCTGTCAATAAGGAGCAGGAAATGGAACACGATTGAAAAATGGTTGCTTTCATGAAGAAGGTACTTGATAGTACTTGGTCAGATTAGTCTCTTGATTTTTTTTGTTCTTATGGTCATTTTTAGGCAGTGCTAACTCATATGGTTGTAGATATGGAAATTGATATTGTATTTCAATAGATGAACAACAATTGGCACTGCCTAAATAGTATACTAAAATGCCATTTTAATAATGATCAAAATTATTGCAATCAATTGATCGACTGTTTCTTTCCAGGTCAAAACTAATGCTATAGAAACATAACATATTTGCAATATTAATTCTAACCGTCGATCGATATCTAGGTACTCCTCTTTCCATCTATACAAGGCCTAATGCGTTTTTCAAGACTAACTTTGACCATATGTTAGAGCAATAATATATGACATGCAAGTGACACAAAACATACTGCCAAATTCATTTTCATATTATGTACATCTTATATACCATGAATCTTGTCAATAGTCCAAGGCAATCTCGAAAAATGATATATGGTTGCTAAGGCCTACATCATTTGCACTTTGATTACATGCATTCACTGTGTTTGTCCTTATGGTCAGATGCTAGCATGTCTTTTTGGGAAGCGCTAGGAGTCATAATACTGATTTATTGTTTCCCATCAAACCATTTGGTGGTCATTGGACTTGAAGCATAATATGTGTATGCTTTCTTCTTAGCAGTCTATTAGATTTCTTCTTAACAGACTGCTTTTGTTACTTGCTTCTAGCCGTAACTGCTACCATAATGGACCGCTAGTAAGGTCTTCTTTTTTAAAATCTAGCTTTATTCAATTAACCAACGCTTACACCATTGGCATGTTTTCTCAGTGAGCAAGTAGGGGGATCATCATCCAGAGTACAAGATATATTGTTTATTTAGATAACTAAAGCTAGCTAACTCATGGGCAAGACCATTAACTTCTCTCGAGCAATGCTTGTATTCAACAATCCCGATTTGTATCCTTGTGTCCACACAATCCAAATAAATCGCTGTCACCGAGTCCCACCACCGTGATTGGTGTTTATAGAAATTGATCGCCTCCATAGAGTTAGATTCTGCCTGTAATTTATTGATTTCAAGCAGGTTTCCAAAGTGGAGTCCATCCTTCTTGGCTAGTGAATCCATGTTAGCATTCGTATATGATTATTTTCTTGAGCCATGGCTCACCTCTACAGCAGCCCAATCTAGGAGAAAATAAAGCAAACACGGATGATAAAAGTGCGAAGGTGTTCTTGGGCCTAGAATAACACTTTTCATTTTATTCATTTTTCATTCCAAGTCCAACGAGGGCTCCTCTTCAGCGCCTCTAGCGCAACTTGGCAACCTGGCGCTCACGCGCCTGATTGGCTGGGCCGGCCCAAACAGCGGGTGCCCACTTGGTTCGTCCGCTCAGCCCACAGTTGACCGTTGACCTGACTGCTGATATTTTTTAAACAAGTTCACATAGAAAAGTGTACGGATTTGAAAAATGTTTGCTGAATTTCAAAAAAATTGACACATTTAAAAAATGTTTATAAATTCATACAAAGTTCACAAACTTGGATAAAAAGTTTATGCATTTGAAAAAAATGCTCATAAAGTTGAATTTTTTGTCGATTTAAAAAATATTCACGATTTGAAAATGTTTATGAATTAAAAAAAGTTTTAAAAAGAAAACCAAAAACCCAAAAAGAGAAAATGAACACCCAAACACTATTAGATAGTATTAGAGTTTACATAGCCCCGGGGCTCCAGAAACCTAACATGATGGCCTGGATCAAGAACTAAAGAGTTTTTGCAATATTGTGAGCATCCAAGTTTGCTTCACGATGCTCATGACGAAGAAGAATAGCCTCTGATCCCATCTTGAATCGTCTGTTGTCCTCGATGGTCATGGCGTTAATGCCCGGGGTTCCTCCTTCTAGGCTTTGGATGACGCCCTTGCAATTTAACGCGATCACAGCCTTTGAGATGTGGAGATCCTGCCGGAAGCTACCAAAACAAGAAAAAACCAGCGGTTATATAGTTTACATGGGCCGGCCCATTTGTTCGCGGGAGGTGTGCGCATAAGCCATTAAACGGCGCCATAAGCGCCGAATAGGAGTTGGGAAGTCCAGCTGAGCTGCCGTTTATACAACAGACGCGTTTGCAGCAGGTCCGAATCGACCGTTGCCATTTCTTTCTTTATTCAAACCGCACACGATTTCCACCTCGTCTCCCCCCTTTCCGACCGTTGCGAAATCTCCCTCGAGAAGAACTCAAATTCGCCCCCCATCGCATCCCGCTCCCCACACTCCCCCCCTCATCCTCTTCGTCTCCCAGAGCTCGAGAATCTGAGAAGCCCAGCGCAAGCGGCGGACCAGCAGGGCATCCCGCGATGGTGTCGAGGACGCCCACGAAGGCGCCGGCGGCCAGGCCCGGCACCGGCACCGGCAGCCCCGCGAAGCCGTCGCCGTCGCCGACCCCGGCGGCGAGGCGCCGCCGGGCCCTTCGCGGGGGCCGCCGCCCGTCCTCCACGAAGCGGAGGGCGTCCCCGCTCAAGTCCCTCGCGGCCGCCCCCGCCGCCGTGGCCTCCTCCTTCGGCCGCTCCGTGCGCTTCTGCCGCCGCCGCCTCATCAAGGTCTTCGCCCGCCTCGCCGTCCTCGGCTCCCCGTCCAAGCGCAGGGCCGGGGCCGCGGGGTTCCAGCGCCTCCGCTCCTCCTCGCCCCCGCCCTCGCCGCACTTCTCGCCCCGCGCTCAGCGGCCCGGCAGGGTCCACGCCGCCGCGCTCCCGCCGCCGTCGGATCCGGAAAAGAAGACCCTTTTTCTGGACCTCGACGAGACGCTCATCCACTCCCAGACCGACCCGGCGCCGGCGCGCTACGACTTCACCGTGCGGCCGGTCATCTGCGGCAAGGCGGTCACCTTCTACGTCTGCAAGCGCCCGGGCGTCGACGACTTCCTCCGCGCGGCGGCGGAGGCCTTCGAGGTCGTCATCTTCACCGCGGGGCTGGAGCAGTACGCCTCGCTCGTGCTCGACCGCCTCGACCCCACGGGCGCGCTGATCGCGCACCGCCTGTACCGCAGCGCCTGCCGAGACGACGGGGACGGCAGGCTCGTCAAGGACCTGTCGGCCACTGGCCGGGCTCCGGACTGCGCCATCATCGTCGACGACAACCCAAACGCCTACTCCCTGCAGCCAGAGAACGCCCTCCCGGTGGCGCCCTTCATCGACGATGCCAATGACCAGGAGCTGGAGAAGGTCATGCGATTCTTGGACGCCGCCGCAGGGTTCGACGATACCAGGGAGGCCATCAGGTACTACAAGGATCTCGTCACAGAGAAGTGAGCCGAGCGCCCGTGGCGCCGGCGAGGAGATGGAGGTTGAAAATTTCCCCTTCTTGGGTCTTCCTGAATATTGGTGAACTGGTTAGCAGATGGTGGTGAGCATTGATCTTTCAGAATCTTCCTGAATGCAGTTTGTTAAATATTTCTATGTGGTTCAATGAAACTGAAACTGGAATGTGCATTGAAGATGAAATTGTGCAATATCAAGAATCTTCCTGAATACAGTTTGTTAAATATTTTTATGTGGTTCAATGAAGCTGAAACTGGAATGTGCATTGAAAATGAAATTGTGCAATATCAAGAATTCCTTTGTCGGGTATTATGGTGACTGGTGAGCATTGATCTTTCAGGATCTTCTTGAATGCAGATTGTTAAATATGTTAATGTGGTTCAAACGAAACTGAAACTGGAATCGGTTTGAAGATGAAATTATGCAAAACTCGTTCCGCACACTTTCCAAATGATAACAACCCAGTTCACTACTACACCTAACAAAGCAGGAATTACTACAAGCCATGGTGGTTTGGGAACAGGGGGCAACACGAGGCCGAAGCCTTCCGATCCACAAGCGACCCTCGTTCCCCGTCGCCACCTCTGTTTTTTTCAAGTGCTCGCTACCTCTGTTCTGTTTGTAGTTACTCACCTCTCAGAACGACTTCCTGTGAACTGAAAATCTCTCACCCATCACGCTGCAATCCTGTACTTTTTTTGTGTTCCTTTGTTTTTCTAACTTGTACTGTATATCGGACGGGGCATAGGCCCAATTGTGTCGGCCAATTGACCTGCCCAGACGTAGGGTTTAGCTTGGGTTGAACCGGACTTGTGCGCACGACCCAAAGCGTTGTAGCTTCCAAGTTTTTGTTACTTCCACTACTTTTTGCTAGCATTATCGTAGACATCGCATCATATAGATTCAAAGTTTTACTGTTATCATAGACACTGCCTTTTTAATGACACTACTGACACTAAGATTGTTTCTTTTTCGAAAAGGAGGTCACCCCGGCCTCTGCATCAGAACGATGCATACGGCCATCTTATTAAAACAAATAAATAAGGTTCTAACAAGGTCTCAAAGTCTCCAACTGAAAAAAGCTCACTCAGAGCCAAATAGGCTAGAAAGACAAACTAGCCAAATAAGGGACGCCACAACCGACTGGCTAAAGAGAGATAGGTAAACTAATTGCCTATCCTATTACATGATCGCCATCCAAACCGGTTGAAGATATCCCGAGCTACCATCTCCCAGCGGATAGATCCAGTAACCAAATGCTCCCTGGCCTCCATCGGAGTGAGTAGCGACCACGAACGGATCAATGCCGTGACTTGGAAGATAACCTGCACAAAATGAAAGCGTGATGTTCTGTTAAAAACCAAATCATTTCTGCAATTCCAGATAGTCCACAGCAAAGCTCATACTCCCACACGAATATGTCTCGCTAAGTCAGGCTCAATCCCATTAAGCCATGTCTCAAATAACGTGTTAACAAAATTTGGTGGAGTAATATTGAAAGCAATGTGGACTGTCCGCCAAAGAACTTTGGCTAACGGGCAATCAAGAAAAAGGTGCTTAATTGTCTCATCCCGATCACAGAAACTACACCTAGTAGATCCTGTCCAATTACGCTTTGTCAAGTTGTCCTTGGTTAAAATTACTTGTTTATGGACAAACCACATAAACACTTTTATTTTCAAAGGAACTTTGACAGTCCAAACATGCTTGGAGGTAGGAATGAAGCTCGAATTGATAACATCAATATACATTGATTTAACTGTGAATACTCCAGACCTAGTGAGCTTCCAGCGTAATTCATCGGGTTGTTGGGAAAGCTGAACCTCCATCAGTCGCCTAACTACACGGAGCCATTCTTCCCATCGATTGCCCGCTAGCGACCGTCTAAACTGAATATTAAGGGGGATAGGTTGAAATATCGTTGCAACGAACACCTCACGACGTTGAACAATATGATATAAAGACGGGTATTGAATGGCCAAGGGTGTCTCTCCGAGCCAAGTATCCTCCCAGAACCGTGTACTAGCACCGTTGCCAATAATAAACTTTGTCCTATTAAATAAGAATTGTTTGACTTTCATCAGTCCTTTCCAGAAAGGCGAGTCGGTCGGCCTAACTGTCACTTGTGACAATTTTTTGGTCTGAAGGTACTTGCTACGAAGTATTTGCGCCCACGTGGCATCAGTCTCATGGGATAGCTTCCACAGCCACTTACTCAGAAGGCATCTATTCTTAGCTGCGAGATTCTCAATACCAAGACCCCCTTGGTCTTTCGGTCTACAGATGATATCCTATTTAGCTAGCCGGTATTTTCTTTTCAGTTCATCACCCTGCCAAAAGAAACGCGATCGATAAAAGTCCAGTCTTTTCCTGACTCCAACTGGGACTTCAAAGAACGACAAGAGAAACATAGGCATACTTGTGAGCACTGAATTTATCAAAATTAGTCGGCCTCCGTATGACATGAGCTTGCCCTTCCAGCAACTCAGTTTCTTTTCAAATCGGTCTTCGATGCACTTCCATTCTCTGTTTGTCAGCTTACGGTGGTGGATTGGTATACTTAGATAAGAAAATGGTAACGCCCCCAAATCACACCCAAACAATTGCCTATAAACCTCTTCTTCATCCTTGGCTCTACCAAAGCAGAACAACTCACTCTTGTGAAAGTTAATCTTTAGCTCGGTCAATTGTTCGAAAAGGCATAACACCAGCTTCATATTTCTCACCTTGGCCAAGTCCTGCTCCATAAAGATGATTGTATCATCAGCGTACTGAAGAATGGACACACCTCCATCAACAAGATGAGGTACCAAGCCACCTACTTGACCATTCTCCTTAGCCCTTCCTATCATAAGTGCTAACATATCAACCACAATATTAAACAGGATAGGGGACATCGGATCTCCTTGTCTTAGGCCTTTATGTGTCTGGAAGTAATGACCAATATCGTGATTGACCTTAATTCCAACACTCCCTTTTTGCGTAAACGATTTAACCTGGCGGCACCAGGCTTCATCAAAACCTTTCATACGCAATGCCTGTTGGAGGAATGGCCATTTGACTTTATCGTACGCTTTCTCGAAATGCACCTTAAAAATTACTCCATCTAATTTTTTAGAATGGATTTCATGGAGAGTTTCATGAAGGACAACCACCCCTTCAAGGATGTTTCTATCCGCATGAAAGCAGTTTAGGACTGTTGCACCATAAAATGCGTAATCTGTGTGAGCCTATTAGTCCTGACCTTGGTGAAGATTTTGAAACTAACATTAAGAAGGCAGATCGGCCTGAACTGCTCAATTCTCATAGCATCCGTTTTCTTAGGAAGCAAAGTGATAGTTCCAAAATTCAAGTGAAATAAATGAAGCTGTCCAGAGAACAGATCATGGAACATAGGTAACAAATCCCTCTTAATAACGTGCCAACATTTTTTGTAGAACTCAGCCGGGAAACCATCCGGTCCGGGAGCCTTATTGTTTTTCATCTGTGCAATAGCATCAAACACCTCCTTCTCTGAGAACAGGGCAACCGGGATATCATTATCGGCAGCCGATAGTTGAGGCACATCCTCAATCCTGGACTCATCGAGGGACACATAGCTATCCTCGGGAGGTCCAAATAACTGCTTGTAATATCCGGTTATATAAGTTTTTAGGTTATCCTGTCCTAAAATAGTTCCTTCGCTTGCTCAAGCTGAAAGATTATCTTCTTTCTATGCTTGCCATTAGCAATCAAGTGGAAGAATTGAGTATTCGCGTCCCCCTGGACAATTTTGCGGACCTTAGCCCGCAATGCCCACTTCAATTCTTCTTCGCGGAGAAGTTCTTTCAATCTCTTCTCTGCCTCGATTTTAACCTGAAGCTCTGCTGGCTGCAAAATCGTGGATTCAGCCTGTAAGTCAAGTGTGTGAATAAGAGAAAGGAGCATGTCCTTTTCAATCTTATACACCCACTAAGATGCTTAGCCCACCCCCTTAAGAAGCTTCTCAAATGCCTAATCTTATTCTGCCAATGCTCAACCGAAGTCCTACCTCCTGCACCCTTAGCCCATTCCCTGGCAATCAGGTCCAAGAAACCTTCGCGTTCAAACCAGGCCATCTCGAAAAAAAGGTATTTTTGTTTCCCACGTGGTTCGGCTCCCCCGAGTCCACGAACAAAGGAGTGTGATCGGATATTCCACGCGAGAGGGCTTGTACCGTTATGAGAGGGTACTTCTGTTCTCACTCAACGCTCGCGAGAACTCGATCAATCTTTTCGTACATCGGGTTTGGCAAGGCATTAGCCCAGGTAAACTTTCTACCAGAAAGCTCTATCTCCCTCAGATCCAAGCTTTCAATAATGGTATTGAACATAAACGACCACCTGCCGTCAAAATTATCGTTGTTCTTCTCCTCTCTCCTCCTAATGATATTGAAGTCACCCCCAACTAAAATTGGAAGCTGCTCAGACCCACAGATCCAAACAAGGTCCGCCAAAAACTCCGGTTTAAGCTCGGGCTGTGCGGCACCATATACCGCCACCAAAGCCCAGTTGAAAGCATCGGCTTTAGACCTGACTCGAAACTTAACCGCAAAGTCACCCATCACTACGCTGCGGACTTCTAGCGAGTTGCATCTCACACCAAGCAAGATCCCACCCGATCTTCCTCGTGGAGGAAGGCAATGCGAATCGAAGTCAACACCGCCCACAAGAGAGGTAAGAAACTGGGGCGCAAAGTTCTCACGACCAGTTTCCGAGAGAGCAATAAAATCTAATCGATGCTCTAAAGATGCCTCAGTAAGAAACCTTCTTTTAGCCAAGTCTTTCAAACCTCTGCTATTCCAAAGTATTCCTTCAATAATTCATCATAAATTTTTTTGGTAGTCCGAATCCTAGCACTCCTACGAACCGCAGAATCGGGATAAATCTTCCGTTTCCACTTGCGCTTTGGTTTACTAGGTTCTTCCACCCGGTCCTCATAACCGGGCTCAGTGGCACTAACTACTGTATTAG